ATTTTATTCTACTTCTACAATTACTCAACATTTTTTTCACTCTTCACTCAACATTTTCATCTCTTTCACCTTGTAATTTTAGTTTTTATTTTTATGGCTTCTTCTATTGAAACCGGAGGGGCGTGGAGCACCATGGAAGATGTTTCTTTGTGTGAGGCTTGGCTCCGAGTTTGTCATTGTCCCGTGACAGACAATGAGATGAAATTTTTCCATATGTGGAAAAAAATTCATGCCGAATTTTGCGAAAAAATTCCAGACTCGCCTCGTACGGAAATGACATTGTCAAGTAGGTAGAAACTTCTCAACAAAGAGATGGCAAAATGGAGAGATGCCTTTGCAAAAACGATGAACTTGTATAGAAATGGGAAAAATCGTACTAACGAGGTAAGTATTTTGTAATTTTCGTTTTATTAAGTTTAATGTCCTAATATATATATATGTTGTTAATATTTATTGCATTTCCAATTGTTTCTTCATATTTCTTGCACTTCCAATTTATTTGTAAGGTTAATTGCATTTCCATTATTTTTATTTTGTTACTTGCATATCCAATATATTTTAAATATTTATTGCATTTCCATTTTTTTGTTAAATGGCTTATTCAAGCACAGATGTGGTTCGGTGCAATCGGGGGTGGCAAAAAAAGTTTCACCCATCATGAATGTTGGGAGGTGGTGAAATATTGTAAACGCTTCATAATTATTCCCACGGGTCCCGACGTTGTGTTAAACGAGACGCCTCTCCGTGATGCAACGACATCGGATTCACCTCTCGATTCCCTTATGACTGAAGACTCACCCATCCAAAAGGAACCGAGGCCCATTGGCCGAAAGGCTGCGAAGGCAAATAAAGCGGGTAATTCAAGCAATCATAATTCAAAGTTTTTGGAGGAAATTGCAAGGCAAAACGCCATAAGAATTGAAATGGAGCATAAACGCCAAGATATGGAGGTGGCAATTCAAGTCGAGTGTGCACAAGAAAAGGAGTATTTGCGCAAAAAAGATATGAGAAGACGGATCGGGAAACTATAGCGATGAATACAAGCCATATGTCCCTTGAAACAAAACAATATTGGAAGCTAGAACGAAGGGATGTTATGAGAAGAAGACTTTTCCACGATGATGGGCCTAGCAACACAGATTGGTTAAATGATCAAAACCATTAAATTAGTTGGCATACCTTTTATGTATTTTTATTTTTCATGTTTTGTATTAAAGTTGGTGTACTTCATGTATTTTATTTTAGTAGTAGTAATTCTTAATGACTTGTATTGGATTTCTTTATTTAATAAACAAAGCATTCAATAAAAGACCATTTTATTCAACATATTCCATACATCAAACAAAACATAATTAAAAT